TCCTTGAGGCCTTTTTTTCCTCTCCGGCAAAAGTACCCCGAGTCCCGTCTTCCCTCCTCATCGCCTTCCTCCTCCACCACCCGCGGGCTTATTTGAATTTGAGGCTGGAGCATGTTGCGCCTTGGTCCCGTACTAAGGGGTTCTCTGGGTCCCAGATCGGGGTCGTAGCCACCACGCTGGGACTCCTTATCTGGTCTGTTTCACATGGCTCAGGCACTTCAAAGTTCAGCTACGGGTCGTCCATGCTCGAACCATGCCAGAGAATCGCCACTGACCTCTCTGGCTTGTCTCCATGGTGTTTTGAAGATGCTCCCCGAGAGACACTACACTCATGACCGAGGTAATCGGCGTCCATGACTCAAATTGATTTCTTTTCTTTGTCTCGGGGAGCTGTTGGTAGCTTCACTAGGCGGACTAGTTGGTGGTTGAGATCAAAGAACCACCATATCGGTAGACTCCAACTAGAGACACTAGTAGGACGGGGACTCAAAGTATGTGTTGGAGCTGAACTTTTTGGCTGCTGTCTGTCTCAACTGCAAACTGTTTTCTCTCATCTCCATTGGCGAGGAAGCAGCAGGCTGTGCTCTGCCTCAACAAAGAGAGTGAAAACATCTTCGCATTGACACACGAGCAATGGCACTAGTTGTTATGGTTTGATTACTCCTTTGTCGTTGGGTAAGGGGATTGATCACTTGACTAGAAAGCACACCCGTCAATTGTAGTGCGAAGCATGACCTGCAATTCCTATTCTCTCTCCACAGCTGGTGGCAGGTACCGTCCCTGCCTCGGCCGACAACTACTATACCGATGTCATTACAGCTTACGTACTGTGTGACACTTTTGATCTGCCTGGGTAACTAACTACAATACATGCACTTATTCAGTCCTGTCATTCCTCCTATGGTTGGCAAATCGATATGGGACCTTAGCTTCCCCTCCCCTCTCTCCCCCCTCCCCACCCCTAGGTTTGATTGGCACACTAGCGCCCCGGGGCAATTCTTCCTAGATCCGCGCTCGATCGGAGGACCGAGATCCCCCAGTCGTCACTTTCTCTTCGTCTATCGTAAGCCCTTCTCGAAGTTTTTTGCGTCCCCTCCTCCCTCTGATCATACAGTCATTGCATGCGTCTGACGATTGTCTTCAGGACTTTGTTTCATGAACCCTAGGCTATATCGTCCTTCGACCCGGGATCAGCTACTCCGTGCAACCTCCAGCGATGGGCTTTTAGTGTTCAATCATCGCGATACAATTGCTGCAGATGGGATATCAATGTAGCCAAATCACTGTACACATACTCTCTGAGATGCGCCTCCTCCCCTGTCTGCGTTTAAGACTTGCGGGAAATGGTATCCGACTCTCGTGTCAGGCCATTACTCAGTGTCAATTGCACTTGCAGGGCTCTCTGTTTCTACTATATTGTACTACAACTCATGAAAGTACTGTAGCTTCTTAGTTGTGGTCAACTAATCATCATCCGCAGACTGCCCGGCTTGGGCGTATTACAGTACATACTATACTCGTATAGATCGCATCGAGCACCCACTACCTATGTAAATCTTTGAATTGCTGTTCCCCCTCTTGCACAACTGCCAGATCGCCGGCGATAGAATCCGCCGATACAAATGCTAGCCTGGAATAACAGGAGAAGTAATCCCCGACTCCCATTCTGCTGTACGCGTGGGTCGGAAGAAAGGGAGAAGTAGAAGCATCGCACGCAATAATGCCCCCCCATCAATAGTTCGTCTCCGCTCTCATTCCTTTCGCTGAATAAACCGATAGAGACATGTATGCATCGTATTCTGTTGGCTTCTTATAACCCACCGAGAGCGGAGTACAGAAACCTCCACAGTTTACGGGCGGGGAGGAGGGAAAGGAAGTGTTCAAGAGGGAGGAGAATCAAAAGTACGGAGGTCGCCGGTTGGTGGTCGCTGGTTAGTAGTTAGCAGCATACCTACCTACCGAAGGCTGGCCCTTAGTACTACTATTCCCGTTTATGGTAGAATTGGCCATTTTTCGTTGGGTCTAAGCGTGGGCTGGGCTTGTTGTGGGTGGGACGGCTATTTTTTTTGTGTTTTGTTTTTTCATTTTGGCCTTTCGCTCCTTCTGACGATATGCGATGCGGCCTGTGCGTAATTCGGGGGACACACTCGAGGGCTGGCCCCGGCTGGTGGCCGTTCCTTGGTTTATTTTTTTTTCTTTGGAGGGGGGTTTATTTGTTTTTTTTTTCTTCTGCTTTGTGTTCTGTGCTCTGTGTTGGGGACCCTCTTTCCTAAGGTTGTGTTCTCGGTCTTGTCGTACAAGCTGCAAGCCATCCGAAAGGCTAATTAGGGGAGATTGTTGTTGTGGGCTGGTTGTTTGGAGTGTGGGGGGTTTGGTTCTAGTCTACTGATACTGATGCCTGGGCGGCGGATGCTGGTCCATGGGATCTGGAGGTTTATAGGAGTGGCTAACTACGGAGTACTCCGTTCGGGTTACGCGACTATTGAAGGGCATGTTCGATGCAGTACAGTAGTGAATAGTGAAGTACTTTCTGTGTAGCTATGGCGTCTCTGTGTGGATAAGGGCGGGGTTGGAAGATTCAGTTGCACTGTATCTATCGAGGGTCTCTCTACTTATCTATCCAAGAAGACGGAACCCTAAATTAGTGGACGATTTTGGTAGGTTTGGTGGTGACGTTGAAGGATAATCTAGGTTTGGCATACAGACTCTCTCCGACTCCGTTCCGTTCCGTGCCTACTTACCTATTGACGGTGGTAATACCTACCCTACACTACTGTACTTAGTTAGGGTTGCTGTCAGGGTAAACAGGATTTCCAACGGGGGAGGGGAGGAGCTGCGTCCGAAACGGTCCAGGGATGACCACCCAGAAGTCCGGGGGTTGAGTTCAGCCCAAGAACCTGGAGAGACCTTGACGATTTGCCTGCATTCGATCCGAAGGGCAGACAGAAGACAAGTAAGTGGGAGGGAGAGAAAGAGGGTCGGAAAGGCCATCACAAACCGGTTCCAGGATGGCGGGCGAGCGATCTGCCAATGACGAAGGCGAGTTCGAGCTCGTTCGTGCTGAGAGAAAAAAAGGTCCCAGCGGGCGTAGGAAGCCGTGTCCCGGAAAGCCCATCCCTGTCAGCCGCTAACTAAAGTCAGTGGCGGTTAGACTCTCGCCGGGGTGGAAATATATGGAATTGGCGAAATATGTCAATATGTCAATACGGTTTAGTGCCCCTAAAACTAAAACATCCCTATCTTCCACTCCTCAAGTGCTTTTGTTCTGCCTGGACTAGACTAACTGACGGACTGGAGCACCTGAAATTCGCGATCCATAAGGACTAACTAATATTAGATGTGTACTTCGACAACGCAGCCATCTCGTCGGAGGGTCGAAAGTGCCAATTCTCCCTCGGCGATTTCTCTTTCTTCTGCTAAACAGAGGATTGCACTACATTCGCCCTTCGCCTGTCATCGACTCATCGCCGTCTCCGTCCCCAGGCTTTCGGATGGCGGAGCCCAGGCAATTATCGATGCGCCACCGTTCGGGTTCTTTTGACAGTGGAAAGTGAGCCCTGGGGAAAAGGGAGGGGGGCGCGCGCGCCAGCTGCTGCCATGGCCACTTAGCTAGACGATCTACTAATAGTAGTGTTACCTTAGTGCCTTAGTATCGAGATATATGCCCATCAGAGTAATCTTAAATTAAATCGAAATCGGTAAAAAAGAATTTTAATTCAAAACAAAAAACCACACTTGCAAAAATCATTAAGATTAAGAAAAAATGATTTAAAATAATCCTCCCATAGCAAAAAAGAAAGCAACGAGACCGCATGGCTTACCGAAAACATGCAGCCGCATTTTGTACCAATGCTTTTGCGTAGTCTGGGTGTTTCGGCTTTGACACAGTCAAGGATCATCCATGCTGCTGGAACCTCCCCCCAGTTCCATGCCAAATCGGGGTAAAATCAAATGAGGGGAGCAATCATGCCGACATGGGTGGATTCTGGGTCCTTTTGTTCACAGATGCAATCTCGATCCTTTGATTTCTATCTCGCAGACTGTTTGAACTGAGTCGACCCCATACAAAAGGTCCAGCTCCGGTCTTTTCTGTCTCTCCCTTGATTTTTATAAGAACCTCAGAAGACTCCTCCTTGCCGTTGGATAATTCCTCTTCATCTTTCTCTTCACTTGTCTCCTCTATAGCAGGTTAGACTTATACCTCCATCTTATACTATATACTAGATCACTCTTCTATCTCCTCTACTCATCCTTGATCAACTTCTTCTTCAGTGAAGACTCCATACCCTCTGTACTACAAGCAGTACTTCTTGTGTCACCGGACTTCTTCGACCTTGTTCTAGCGCGACGAAAGTGACCTACACTTGGCCGGATCGTCTCCAACTGTGTGTGCTAGTATCGGTTGCCAGCAGCTCTACCTTGCCACCCTATCGACATTGTGTCTTGGAACCGGAGCCGACTACCCACTGCATCTGGCTGATTGCTTTTTCTGTTTGGTGAGTAGCTGGCTACTGGGGTGGTTTTGCCTTGTCTTTCAGTTTGCTTGAGGTTGAATGGCATGGATTCACACTTCCGCGTGACCAGCCTCAATCCTTGTACTGTACATTATCTTCGGGGATGAGGCCTGTATACAGTGCCGCTGCCATGTCTTCACTTCGGATCAGGCACTGGCTTAGCAATGGCTTCAGTCGAATCGGAAGCTAACCTTGGAATGTCGCTTGTGCGCCATAGTTTCCAGATCCGGAACATTGCAGAGTGCGCCATATTTGCTCGTTTGGCTTGGGTGACTCTGCAGACCTTCGAGTGTCGCCTACAAATCCAACCTCTTTTCCTCCGGCACGATCACCGAGACTCGACTCGCCTATGCTTCAGGGCTCCCAGAACATCAACCGTTCGTTCTGACACCCGCGTTGGCCTCCGTGACATCAGACCAATCAATACCAAACAACTTCTAAACACACCACGACTGTTCCGAAATTCTCGCTCTATACCCATTCACCATGGTTCTCAGTGCTGCTCCTCTTTCGAGGACAGGGCCTGTCAAGAGGTCCGCCTCTAGCCTTGGGGCTGATAGCCTTGGTTGGGAAACTGCTCCGGTGGGTATTCTAGAGCCCAGTCCATTCGAGCCCTGCTAACAGGTTCGCCACAGGTCATGAACTCCCCTCTCCGTGCAACAGTCAACATGCCCTTCACCCATTACTCGCTTATCTATCTGGACCACATGGGTCATTTGCAAGTTCAGGAGTCGCCTTCGATCAACGACCAGAACCTTACCGTCTTCACGAACGACGTGCGCGAGAAGTTCCTGGAAATCCTAGGTTCAAAGATCAACTACAGCAAGCCATTGATTCGCAGTATGTGAATGAAAGCAGCGATGGCGAGTGGGCATCATAACTGACGCGATGTAGGAACCTCTGGTGCCAGCCCAGCTGCTTTGAGCTATGATCGCATGGACGAAAAATACCGGCGTCAGGCCAAGAGGCGCAAGACTCAACCTGCTCCTCCTTCTGATAAGCTGCAATACTCGAACCCTGACACAAACGCCATGCAAGACCTGCCCCCTGTTGCTGCCGTTCACAGGGTTGCTCTGATGATCGGCGATTCGGACAAGGTGCTCCGGTATTACCAGGTTGCCTTGAAGCACTTCCAGCAAACCAACTGCCGTGTCGTTTGCAAGGCATTTATCAAAGTCATCGAGCCGCGCAAGCAAGTCCGACACCCCTATAACGGTGGCCGAGCCAAACCGGGAGCGCCCCCTGGTTCTAGGGGGGACCCAGAGTTGACCAAGCCCGCATGGTGGCCAGCTCATGTGATCCACAGAGAGCCTGATCACCTTAAGAAGAATGGTAGGCTCGATTATTTGAGTCATTTGGCGACGATCGACGCTAACGAGTCCTGACAACAGAGCGACTTGAACTTCTGCTCCACATCATCCGGAATCTCTCCTCCAACGGCTTCACCGCTGAAGCTTTGCAGGAAGTTGCCCACGACTGCAGGCGACAAATCCAGGACGACAAAATGCCCATCTTGAACGAGATATTTAGAGTGCGCAAGATGGAGGAACGATACGAGAGGGGCGAAATTGGTAAGTTGGAACATCGCAGGACTAATGAGAAAAAGCTCTAGGCTAACCAAATCTCGTCAGATGCAACCACAATTGTATATGTCCAGGCAAGGGAGGACAAGGAGGACAAGGAAGAAAAGGAGCCCGCATCCCCAGCCGAGCCTGTACAGAAGATCGAGCCGGAAGAGACAGAGGCGAACGAGGTCATCATCCCGGCAACATCTTCAATGGCAGACTTTTCAGCGCAGTTCACTGCCATGGATTCGGCCGGCATGTCAACCCATCGTGCCACCTCCTTGGAAGCGGATAGAGGCCAGCTCTTCCCTCTACCAGAATCGCTCAGCTACGGCGAGTCGACTCAAACAGATCGATCCTTTTACTCGACCTCGGGCGACTACAGCGACGACTACTCTTCGCACCCCACTATCAAGACTCCCACAAGCATCGAGATGGTCAGCCCAATTGAACCAGCTTCGTCGTTTGAATACTTGGCCCACGCTCCCCTCACTACTACTGATGGTGCAGAGCATCATCGCACCACGGCAATGTCGATGCAGCACTCCATCGGGCCATACGATACCTGGGCAGCGCCGACCTACAGGCAACAACCCCTGTACGGATCCTACGACTACAGTGCCGCAGTGACCACGCAAGCGATGTCCCAACCGGCCATGCACTACCAGATCCCAATGGACGAGATGCACGGCCTTCCCGAACTCACATCCACCAGGATGTCTCCCTTCCGCACCGGCTCTCTGGGCCACCCAACCCTCACCCACCAGTCTCCCGAGCGGCTGTGAAGAACATTGCTCAGACGAAACGATTACGCAACGAATTTATATGAACCGCATCATTTTTCTAGCCTCTGTCTCATACTTCATTTACACATGTTCTGTTTTGGGCTAGGGTTACCTTTTTCGCATCTCCTTTAGTTTCCTTTTTGACCCAGATGATCGAGGGACATTTGCGCACGAGCTTCTGTTTTCATGGGTTTTATGTACGTGGTTTAGATTGTGGGAGGGATTCCACTTTTTGTGATATTTTCTGATGGCAAAGCGGGGTGGTCGATCTGATAGACTTCGGCAAAGCAAGGGCGCTCGCGGTAAACTCATTTGCACCCTTGAACAATTGGGACAAGGAGCAGGTGGTTGTTGTGATTTTCTGGTGCTTTTTTTATTTGCTCCTCCTGGCTTTTTGAGAGGGTGAATTGAGACTTGACAGTAGCGTTTTAGCGGCTTCCTTGTATTTAATGGTTTCTAAAAAGAATTGCATGAGTTGATTACAATTTGCTATTCCCTGTGATCTGTTCTAGTACACGTCTCTTTGGTGCATAGGGCTGTGGGCGACGACAATTGACAATGTCAAATGGTGATTGGCCATAAGAGTATCCGAGTCGCTCAAGTTGATTGTGACGATGGAGCACGATTGTTCTCTCTGATTATGAATGGACCTAGTATTGAACAGCCCTCATCCTTTGGAGATCCCGAATCCTGAATGGTTGATTATACGAGGTTGGATCAGCCGCGCGGCAGTAGCGCTTGCGCCTGATTAGGCTTGGCGCGCATTGACGCTGTCCCGCCCGCCGCCTGGAAGCTCCCCGATGTGATCGAAGGCTGTCTATCTATCCCGAGTCCATCTCCTCTTCCTATTTCTCCTTTAGTCAACAGAATAATCATTGCCGCGATCACTGCAGCAGCTTTCAAACGGCTGGTAATTCTCTTAGCGGCCCCAAAGCTTCGGTCAGTATCGAAAGCGTTTGCGACAATCGACTTCATATTCGTTCCGAGATCTCAGCGTCCAGCCAGTCGAAGTAGCGGGAACGCCATCACATCTCCGCGTCACTTGCATTCGCTTGCAGCATCTCATTGTCGAATACTTGTCGGCTCCCCTCAGCTATAGATCGCCTATTAGAAAGCTGTCGTCTTTTCGATCTCATTCGCGAAAGGTACCGCGCCAATCGTTCGTTCCGCTTGCATTCATGATTTCCTTCGTTCACGATAATCCACTCGTCGTCCACCTGCTCTTTCTTTATTTTCATCGCCCTCCAGTCGCATTGTCCTTATGAGCCTTCTCGTTATGCTTGAAATACAACTGACTCTGTTGTCACACCCGTCTCCGCGGTTTTCATCGATGATACAGCGCTTCTAGAGTCCTCGATCCCATTCTTTCCCGCTCGTTGTCCGACCCACTACCCGTAACACGAAGAACGCGCCCGAAGATCAGAAAGCGCCAAGTGAGAACAATTCCGCCGGTTACAGCAGGGAAATACTTGACGCTCCCCCCGTCCACGGTCCCGCTGTTCGCGGCAGGATGGCCGGCCCAGCGAATCCTTTCTTGGGCCTTGGCCAGAGAGATGGGTCGGCTGGCCCCGCTGGTCGTGGACGCGGTGGTGGACCAACTGGACGCTCAACTCCTTACCAGCCCAAGGCCAATAGTGCAACACGCGACCCACGGCTTCGTGGTCGGGGACGGGGCGCCTCAGCGGTAAGAGGCACGCGTGGTCATGGGAGGGGGGCCAGCGCGGGGAATAACGTCTGGAGAAAACAGGCCGAACCACAAGCCGAGTCTGCCGCTATCGCTTCGTCGCCTTTCGGCCAGTCGAAGCAGTCAGCTCCTTCCTCGGCTACCCCTCCTGTGCAGTCGTCGCCGAGCCCTTCCCCTTTCGCGGGATTCGGAAAAGCATCGCCTGGTTCGTTCGGGACTCCCTCGAGCTTTGCGGGAGCTCAGAATGGTGGTGGGAATACGGTTTCGCAGCGGCAACCTTTCGCGCAGCAACCTAATGGAGCGATGGGCGCGAATGTTCCAGTGGAAGACGCCTCGCTCTTGAGTAGCTACACTGATCGCTACGAAAAGGTGGGTCCACAGCGTGCTTCTAGAATTGTGCATTGGTAGATGTTTTGATGGATGCTCACTTCTGGACAGCTCAAACTCGATCGCACGAAGCAGAGAGAGAAGGCTATAAGGGAGGGTCAGATGGCGGACCCAAACCAGCCAACGTCCCTGCAACAAGCTATCACTCCCGTGGGCACTTGTACAAGCATGTGTCCAGAATTCGAGCGCGTTGAGCGCATTGTTCAAAAGATGGTCGACAAGAGCGAGAAGGTGACTTCACTGATCCGTATCTCCCGCGTTCGAAGGCTCATTCCTACTAGTACCTACATCCTGCAACAAATACTTTGCAGAACATGGAGTTAAAGATGCTCAAGCGATTTAGACGATCGGCCGCCGGCTATGACGCGCAACTTCCCTCCGATATCAGAACACCTCATACGCTCCTTCAAACTATGAACTATCTCATACGGCATGTTCTCAACGGCTCGGAACCGCTTGGATTGATTCACAAATTCGTTTGGGATCGGACACGTTCGATCCGCAATGACTTTTCCGTGCAGCAGCTCACCCAAGAAGACGATGTAAAAATCGCAGTCACTTGTCTTGAGCGGATTGCTCGGTTTCACATTGTATCCCTGCATCTACTTTCTAGTCCTGCTAATGAGGAGCCCTTCGACCGACACCAAGAGCGGGAACAACTGAACAACACAATGCTCTCGCTGATGTACTATTACGACGACAACAGAGGCCGCATCCCATTCCCTAACGAGGACGAGTTTCGAGCTTACTACATTCTTTTCTCGATTCACGATCAACGACCTGACTTGGAATCTCGCGTGCAAAAATGGCCGGTTGAGCTGAGGAGCTCACCCCGCGTCCAGATGGCATTAGAGCTGTTCGCCGCAGCCAGCAATACCTGGGAATACCAGGGTACGCTCGATGCCAAACGTCCGAACGCTATCGCTCAGGGCTTCTACATGCGGTTTTTCAACCTGATAGATTCACCGGGGGTTCCATACCTAATGGCGTGCGTTGCCGAGATTTATTTCAACCACATGCGTCAGACTGCCATTCGCTCGATCTGGAAGGCTTACTGCCGTTACCCAGCTTCTCAACAGCATAAGAACGAGGAATGGACGGTAGACGAGCTGACTACGGTGCTTCGCTTCGATAATTATGACCAGACGATTAAGTTCTGCGAAGAGCAGGATCTTCAGTTCGCCGAAAATGCAAACGGCGATCTCTATCTCAACTGGGGTAGTCGTCCTGTGGATTCAGTTGGTATGTGTACACTCTCGGCAACTATTTCGCCTTGGATATTCGCCCACCGGTTTCGAATCGCAGTTGAAGAACCTGGAATTCGCATCTTTGGGCTCGCTGCTTGATATCGTTTGTCGACTAACTCGATTTGCAATACAGCCTTCCAGCCGTCCTCGGACCATGCATTTTCAGAGACATACGTCGAGTCGAAGCGCGCAGGCAGGACACTACCCGCGATCATCCTTGGCCTTAACATCAAAGAAGCAGCGAACCTGGAGATGATAGACAGCTCTCTTCTGCCAGAGCGTGTTCCTGCTTTGCCCGCGCCTCAATCACATACATCTGGAAATGATGATTCGCTGTTCGTGAGCGACGACGATAACCCACCTGCGTTCCGTTTCACCCCCTCACACGGAAGCTCACGCAATTCTCCGACGTCAACCTCCAGCCTTCAGAATACTTTTGCGAATGTCCCACCAGCAGCTAGCAGCACCGAATCGACTCCTGGTGCAACATTCTCATTTGCTCAGCCATCCATTACATCGCAAGCGCCCGAGAAACAGGTTGCTCCTTCGTCCCTCTTTCCTAACACTTCGTCCGCCGCTTTTGGCGCGCCTTCACCGTCGCCCTCGGCTCCGTTCGCCAGTGTCTCTCCCCCTTTTCCTCAATCCGGTCAAACACAACTGGGTTTACCGGCTACATCGAGCAGTCAATCTTCTTCGTTCCCGAGCCCGTTTGCGAGTGGCGCGTCGCCTTTCTCCCAGTTTAAACCGCCACAGCAGGAGCACGATTTAGCCGCTTTTCCTTCCAATCAACAGGCTTCTGCGAGCTCTGTTACTACGACTACCTCCCCTTTCTCGTTCTCCAACCCTCCTCCAGAGGATGGAATCAGGAACCCTACCCCCAATACGTCAAGTGCACAACAGGTCTCGGCCTCGAGTCCATTCTCGTCAACTACTTCGACTTTCAACTTCGGGCAACCAGCTCAACAGGAACAGACTAAACCCACCTTTCCTACCCTGAACAACCAGCCGTCTGCATCCATCTTTGCTGGTGCGCAAAGCCCGATCCCAGAGAAGCAGCAGGAGACTGCCTCTCCCTTGCCATCTCCAACACCATTCAAGTTCCCTGGTTCTGTCACCCCTCAGCCATTTTCGACTTCGCCTTTCAGTACTTCCGTGCCTGCGTCTGCATCAAATCCCATCAGCTCAACTCCTGGGAACTCCGCTCCCAGCATTTTCAACACTAACACAAGACCTTCCTCGGACGTGTCTTCTGGCTTAAGCTTCAGTGCTTCTGTGCCAAGTCCGGCCTCTGACAATGCGGCTGCTCAGCAGCCTCCGTCCCTGTTCTCTAACTCTTCGGAAGAGCCTCCTAAGCCGCTTTCCCCTGCCCCGCTATTCTCCGCTCCTTTAGAAAACAGTATGTCCCACTCGAGATTCCATCCGGAAATATACATACTAACTTATTAGTATATCAACCGGCCGTATTCTTTGCGAAGCCGCCCGCTGTACAGTCAGATGATCCATCTCAAGGGAAGCAGGGCCAACCTGGAGATGTAAAACCAAGCTATTCAGGCGAAGAGACTGGCACTCCTACGCAGACGAAATTACCGGCTGTCTCCGTCTCAGACAAGGAACCAGAACTACAGCTAAATGAACTTGTCCCTCAGCCTGAGCCGCAGCCGGCAGCTATCGCGTCCAGCAATAGTTCCAGTCCTGCAACGGAGGAGACTCCTGCTCGGCCTTTACCCGAGACGGTCACGTTTGACAATGATGCCCCTGTGCAGCGTGCTTCGTGGTTGTCAGCATTAAAGGAAGCCGCCGTTCGGCGACGGGAAATCAAACCGACTACGGGTCGCAAACGCGTCCTTGAGGAACCTGAAGAACCATCGCCTACCCAAGGCGAAAGCGGCACCAAGGCATTCAAGGCGCTGAAACCAGAAGCGCTTCATGTACCCAACAGGAAGTCGATGGCACTTTCATCTGTGAAACCCTTGCCCAAGCTCCCGATCCTGGAACAAATCGAGTCAATGACCGCGCGCAAGCCAACCGCGCCGCCCAAACCCCAGGAACCAAGGTCTATTCAAGTCGACGAAGATGAGCTCCTTCTCTCTGCTGCTCGCATTGCAGCTGAGTCATTACGAAGCGGACCACGCATCCTGGATGGATGGCCTGCTGCTTCCTACGATGGGCGGGCTTCGTCGTTCAGCACTAGAAGCAGCGCGTCGCCGTCATATGCATTCTCGCGCAGTCAGTCGCCCCAATCGGGCCACGTGAACGGGCACGAGGTCTCTCTTGCGCCCGATACAGATCTGGGACTGGGTCGTACGATGTCTCGAACGGAACAACGGATCCGCATGACGGGGGCCAAGGGGCTAGCTTATAAACCTTTGGACTTTGGACCAGCCGATCGCAAGCGCAAGTCTCGTTAAGATAAAGATAAATAGTCGGTTCGAGATTGGTGTCTGGCTCCTATCTTTTTTTTTTTTGAGCGTCACCTTACCCCACTCCATGTTCATCATACATGTGCTCATCCTCCTCATCATCATCCTCCTCCTCTTTTTTTCTCTACATGCTCACGACAAGTCTCTGGTTTATTATATCGTTGGCAGGTTAGGAAGCCATACCATTGATTGCATTTCGTCATGGCGTTGGTTGGGCGATATCACAACTTGTTATTGTTCCCGTGTGCATCCAAGCTTTTCTCTAAATTTGGGGCTAAAATGCATGGCGCTGGAATATTCATCCCTCTTTTGCATACTGGTTGTGTACGTACATAGCGCTTTCAATTGCGGAAACTTATAGCTCTATCTTCTGACGGGGTGTTTGTAAAACGTTGCTTAGTGCTTGATTTGGGGAGGTTGTAGGTGCTAGGTACCTTACCTACTTTTTTTGCTAACTCGTCAGGACTAAGTGCTAGTTTTGGCGAATTCGTATCGAATGAGAGTAAATTTTGGCTTCAAGGGCTTTATTCTTGCCCGGGACTCACGGTACCTCATCCCTGAACCATCAAGAGAATCTGTTTGTACTAGTAACTATCATAGTCCCGTATATTCACACATTACCCATACTTCATATCTATACTCCATCCCCGGCTTGATCTACATACATACACACGAAGGGAACTAAAAGAAAGAAAAAAAGAACAAGAAAAAGCGCCCCGAGTCAGAAGAACAGACGTCGACCGTAGCGGGGGATCGTGCGCAACGACCGCGCAAACAGCAACACGACCGCCGGGAGCGCGGTCCGTCATACCCCTCTTACCTTCCGGTTGGCCTTCGCCTGCATGCGACGCATGGCCTCCCGATGCAAATCGCTCATGTCGCCGCGCGGCGGACCCTCCGCCGCGGTGTGACTGTGGTGGACCAGCGAGCCGTGCCGCTGCAGCGACTGGCCGTAGGACGGTGGGCTTCGATCGACTCCCGTGGCGATGACGGGCCCGTCCTGCTTCGCAAGCGGGTTTTGCTTGTCTCGGAGGTCCTCGAGGATCGACTCGCGCCAGGCGGCCATCGCCGCCGGTATGTTGCTTCCTGGTGAGTGGCCGTTGCTGAGGTTTCTTCTGGGCACTACAGCGTTCGGGATGTGTGCCTGCGGGGGGCTTTGGACGGTTTGTTGGTGCAGCAGCGTGCGGCGTTGCGAGAGGGGCATGTCGTCCGTCTCGTCGAGGGCGGCGGGGCCGGCGAACGAGTATCGCGGTGGCTGGCTGTCGAGGGGTGCCTGCCACGAGCCCGAGCTGTTCCGCGAGAACGGATCGAAGTTCAGCGAGAAGGACGACAGCCGGTTGCGCATCATGTCCTCCCGCACGGCGATCAGCGGAGGCGGCCCTCTCCACCGTGGCTTGGGGGGCTCGGGCTCCTCTCTGGCCTGTTCCGCTGCGACGGCGTGGACGAGCGGTACGTGTGTTGGATTGCTCAATTGCAGTTGATCTGTGGGGGGAGAAGATGCCTTCTTCTTCGACCGGCTTGGATGAAGACCGCGGCGTAGATACGGGTCACCTGGTACCCGGTGGCTCTTCGACCTGGATAGGTCTTTCGGCTTGCGTTCTACAGCCGGAGGCGGCTGCGCGTTTAGCGGCGTCAGCAATAGTTCCTCCACGTTGACTGGCGCTGCAACCTCGTTCACCTCGGGGACAACCTCGGGCTCCTCCTCTTCCACGGGCTTGATGGGCTCGATCTCGGGTACTTCTGCGTCGGCGAGGTGTTTCGCCCACTCGTTCGTGCGATAGGACTGAACTACTTTAGATGTCTGCCTTGGAAGATGCTTTACTGTCTTCTCATTGAGTTTGGGAGGCTCCGAAGGCTCCTCTTTTTGGGGTTTCGGCTCGATCTCGTGTGGTCGATTTGATGCCGTGCTCTTGCTGCGGATTGCTATGTTTGCCTGCTCCTTCTTATCGGAAGTCGTCGTCGATTGTGGTGGCTTCTCTAAAGAGCTTTCTTGGGGCCCTTCCTCGTCATTGTTGAGAGGCTGGTCAGGTTTGTTCTCCGTCGGAGGGGTAGTTTCAGTTCGCAATTTCGTAGATGTTTTCGACTTCTTCTTCGATGACTTCTTTCCTTCCTTGCGCTTTGCGTTTTCCGGGATGGCTTTGGAAGTCGTGGAATTTTCGTCTTCATTAGGCTCCTTCTCGTCGCGTGTTTGCTTATCGTGTGGCTTATCGGAGACCTGTGCTTGTTCTGGGCTAATCTCTTCTGTCTGTCCTGATGCGGGGCTCTTTTCTCCATCTGCTTCTTCGACCTGTTTCTCTAGTGTGGCGTCTTGGGGCTTGTTATCACTGGTCTCGCTGGCGGCTGGCGGCATTGCCTGACCTTCTTTCTGCTCAGGTTCTTGGTTTTGCTCATTCGTGGGCCCTTTCTGGGGCAATTGTTCCGTCCCATTGGCCTGTGGTCCTTCCTTGACGTCCACAGGTGTGTCTGTTGCTTGCGCTTCCTGCAAAGCCTGACTAGCAGGCTCTTTGGCTTCCGTGAGTTCCTTGACCTGTGGCTTTGAGCCCTCTTTCACTTCTCCTTCGTATGGGCCTGGTGTGGTATGACTCTCAGCCGTGCGGTCGCTACCAGCATCCGGGACACTATTCGAAGACGAAGCAGTGCCATCCACAGAAGCCAGCGCCTCCTTCGACTCCGAGCGAGGGATCTCACCACATTGCTCTTCGGCCTTCACCAGAACCGAGGACCGCGATAGTCGTCTCGAGCGCACCGACCCCGCTTCTGAGCCAACGAGAGCGGCGACATCCGAGCTCTTATCATCCTTCATGCGGGCCGCGGCCGCGCCATCGAACACCTTCAGCGGGATTCTACTACTGCTATCCCCACCCGCGCCCTGCTGCTCGCCATCCCGACTACCAGCACTAGCATCCGAGGTGTGTGACTCTGTATCGCTGTCCCCGCCCCGCTCCCGACAGTCCGAGCACCGATATGAGCTGTATGAGGAGCCTGATATGCTGTGGACTTCGACGGCATCGCCCTTCTCCATAGCATCCATCTCATCGATAGGGCGCTTCTCGTCCCCGGCGAGCTCGGGCGTGCTCGACAACGGAGAGCCATCCCCGTACTTGGCCTCCCACTCCTTCCGCTCCTGAATATTATCCTCCTCCAGTCTGCGGCCGACCTCGGCCTCAGCTTCTTCACGTCGCTGTCGCTCTTGATCGCGCTTCTCTTTCTCCTTCCGTCGGCGTTCGCGGACGACCTTCCACAGGCGGAGCTGGGAGATGACGCCCAGGATGGCGACGATGACCGTGACGGCGAGTTCGACGCGGATGTTGCGCGTAACTGGGTAGGTGCTGGTGCCCAGCGGGAAGATGTCGGGATTGAGGTCTAGATGGTCAAGATATCGTACATGTTAGATCCGTCATTCCCGATTCTGTTTGTTTGCCTCGGCTCTGCGCCAGGTGCGCAGCGGTGCACAGCAAGGAATGAAGACTTACGCCAGATGTAAAGCCAGAACTCTTTCAACCCCGCGCGACTGAAGCAGTCAATCCCCAGCGCTACGGCCGTACCACCTGATATCCCGGTGGAGGCCATCAGTCCGTACGGGCGGGTATAGTGACTGAAAGACATGGCGTAGAAAGCAGCAGACATCGCCCCGATGAACCCGCTCTTGGAGTTGGTGTCCGTCAAGAGACCGCCCGGCTTCAGCGAGAGGAGCCACATGCTACTGCAGAATCCTCCTAAAAGACAGCCAAGGCCCTCGGTTAGCTCCTTGAAGACGATTGCGAGCGCCCCGAACGTTGCGCCGGTGAGAAAGATGGCGACGAGGTATGCGCCCTGGACGGCTACTCGGACTGGAGGGCTCATCACGTAGACGATGAGGACCTGCGAGGACAGATGATTAGATATTCGACCTGAATTCTGTTTTGGGCGGTTCGTGACATACTGTGACCCCAAGACTGGTTAAGAACGCCGTGGATAAGAAGACTTGGATCCTGAGATAGTGTTTGTCAGTGTGTGATATGGACTACCCTTGCGCGGCAAACCAACCAAAGATTCTGAATTCCAATCAGCGCGAGCACGGCGCCGGCAGCGAGGAGAATAAAGCCACCAATACCCAGCGCCGGCGTGACTTTGGGTTGCAATGGCAGAGCATTCGGATCGGTGGGCGCCTTGTTGTCTTTCTCACACAGTCAGTCAGTCTACCAGCGTGGGGCTACAGTCTGTTGCGGCCCGATGGGAACAACGATCACTACAACTGCGTGTTCGGAGAGAAAAGCTCACCGTTGCTTGTCACGGACGTATTCAGCGAGGCTGAAGTTGTGGAGGCTGGGATGGTGGCGTTGGTCGTCTTCGTCGCGTTACCTGCTGCTGCTGTCGCATGGCTGAGCGTGCCTGTTATTGTGCTGCCATCATTGGCTTGTGTGGTGGTGCTTGGAGGGGAATTGTCTCTTGCAGTGACGAGGCCATTGGTGATTTCGCGTGGAGAATGAGGGATTTGCGCTGAGACAAGGAAGAATAGAGTTGGGACAAAGTAGACGGCCAGCGTCAGCAGGGAGAAAAGGCGCATGGTGGGTGGCTTGAATGGGTGAGGCTCGAGTTTAATCCAGTATCCCAGGCCAATGGGGGTATTCTCTTGTCCGAACCGATTCGTGGCCCTCTGAGACAATGCCAGCCAACGTCCAGGAGTTGCGATGAAGCTGCCTGGCGGTTGCTATTCACATAACTGTCATGTAGGCCGCAGACACTTCGCAAGGCAGCGTAGTCGCCTGTCAAGTCTGAATGGAGACACGCAAGTAGGTCTTGAAAACGTGGCTGTGGATTTGAAACAAGGTGACCCCCAACATACGGATATTACTGCCACTATCTAGTATATGTACCCATTGGTAGAGACGGGTGGGAAAGAGGGAATAAAAGCGATGGCTAAGACCTAGCATGTCTGCACGGGACCTGGAGGGGCGCCTTCATTGATTCGATTCGATGCCAATCCTGGTCAGATAACCGAGCACGCCTTCATCGAGAGCTCCAGAGGGGAAATAGACTAAATGCACGGCAGACGCGAGTTGGCCCACTTATTGGAATTTGGGAAAAAGAAAAACGAAAAACACAAAGTAGTCGCATGGTCGTACATGATAATTGGAATTATTTGGCAAGGATCCGCCCCTGGAGCCATTCCATCGTCCGAAATCTTTCCGGTGGTAGATCGTGCCAGGCATGATAACGGCAGAGGACCGAGTCGACAAACGAAACCTGGCAACGACGCATCGGTGCATACTCTAAATTTCCGTGAGTGCAATCCCAGCATCAGAAGTTGAGCATCCATCCACATTAGTCAAGTAGTGGTTTCGTGTTGGCTTTGTCCAGGGAAAAAAAAAATTGGGAGAGGCTAGCCAGCTTCGACGCCATGGCATGCCATATACGAGAATAGCGGCCTGGTCGGTTTCAATCGCACCAACCAGCCCAACAATCTGCTTTGTCCAAAAGGATTATGACATGTTGAGCGGAAAGAATGCCTCGCGTCATCCTCGTCACTTGCGATGCTTCTCCGGGCTAAATTAGGATTCTGATGGTTAGCGCTGGACTCTCGAGTCGTACGGAGGAGAGAAAGATGTAGCTAGGAACCTGGGCAGAGTTCGGCCGTCACAGATGGAGTAAAACCACCCTACTAGCCGCTAGTGGTTAGGCTCTCCGTGTGATCGGCTGCAAGAAGCGACATATCTAATTTCCTTGGTGAAGCGCGCAGCCTATCAGCCGCTGGCACTTGAGGAACAATGCTCATTGGGATCGCATAAACACAGTCAAGACGCGCCACCACTGGTCCAGGAGCTTGTGGCTCATATCCGACGTTTAGTTTAACTTCCAGGGGTTTCCCGCGACTATCGAACCCTTCGGGCCATATAGGGCTACAGACAACCTGGGAGGTGGACGGATGCGGGTTCGACCGCGATGGCTATGCCGAGATGCAGTCAAAGGGAAGTAACTTGTACAGTAGGTATGAGGAACCCGTGTTCATCATCTTGAGATCCAGCGGTGTCGCGTTCTGCATCTGCTGGACGGACCAGCAGGTACCAGTCTATTAGACGGAAGCTTTCGCGGAAGCGTTGGGTTTTCAATTTTCGGTCAAGCACACATCAATAGAAATATGCAGGATGGGTGCGGTGAGAAGGCTAAGTGACCGGCTAGTCCTATAGGAAATGCGTCCCTCTGGGAAGCGAGGGTTGGTGCTATGCCTTGCTGTTTCCCCAGGTAGACTTGGGATCTGACGTCTCACAAGCGGGCGCTGCGCAGGCTATTGACTATTTCACAACCGACAGTCTGGCACGGCAGAGAATTTCCATGCTTTGGAGGTTTCGCAAAGTTTCGCAAAGTCTATGGGTGATATATGCATGCACGGCCGCAAAAACAGTAAGTAGAATGTGGCAATGGGCTGAGTCTGGCCACTGCAATCAAGATGTGTATGTGTTGTACTCCGTAGAGTGTACGGTATAGTCGAAAGGAATGGAGATGGCGATGACCGGAAAGGAAAGGAAGGAAAGGACAGGCGGAGCAAATCACGTGCTATGACCGCGGTGATCCTGTTGTTTTTGTGTGGAGATCGAGACTGAATCGAGACTGCGGGAGCTCACATGTTCCTTCGACTTTTCCGTCAAACCTCAATTCTTTCTCTCCATCCATTCTTCTCGAATCAAGCCCAGTCCCAAAGCAAATCGCGAATCACCTCCGTTCTCCGTCCCCCACCCACATCCACAGCCATACATCATGTCCGCCTTCCTGTCCTCGTTGCGTCCTGCCATGCGCGCCACTTCTGGTGTCGCTCAGGCTGTGCGTCCCTTCAGCTCCTCTTCGATGCGTTCCGCCGCGAAGATGATCATCACTGGCCGTCTTGCCAGTGAACCCGAGCTGATTGCTACCGCCAGTGGCACCGAGTTCATCAAGTACAGCATTGCCACGAGCTACTACTCCCGGGGAGAGAAGCCGACGAGCTATTTCAAGGTTTCGGCTTTCCCCGAGGGTCAGCAGAAGGAGTTCCTCCTCAGCCTGCCGAAGGGGTGAGTGTCCAACCTTGGGTGGAGATGCGGTCACAATGGAAGATCGCTTCCTACAGGCCTGGATTCTGCTCGTTTGATGAAGAACGACCACTGACTTGCACCCGCTCTAGAACTCTTCTCTTCGTCGAAGGAGACGCGGCCATGCGCTCGTATGAAGACGCCAGCGGCGTCAAGAGATCGTCCCTGAGCATCCTCCAACGTGAGTATCCAGCGCTGAACCCTATCACCTTACATTCCCGCTCAATGCATATAAATCTAACAATCCGTATCCTATAGGGACTCTCGAGGTTCTGAGACGCCCCTACCAGCCTCAGGAGTCTGGTGCGGGTGAGCAGGGTGAGCAGGGTGAGCAGGGTACTAACTAAGCTACAATACCTCATGTGCACCGATTGTAAGCACAGTCATCCATCGCATCCATCGACACACATACTCCCGGGTTCGATTTCTGCTTTAATACGAATGGAGGCATTTTTTGAGGGGGGCATCTTCGCTTCCCCGGCTCCGGAGGGGAGTTGCGGTTTCTTGGGGATTCTTGCCTGTGTTCATGTCGAGGAAATGGGTACATTGCTTGCTATTGGCGTCTTCTCCCCATCCCTGCCCGCTATATCCGGTCATGGGTTTAGACGGTAGTCCTGTCGGGTCTGCCCGCCTGTCCGCCGTCGCATGTTGCAATCATGCCTTTTGTATGTATAGTAGGATATTCTTTATGTTGCGGAAGCACTTTTTCTCGTGCCGCGTCTTCTGATTATACCAATTTGCACCTCTACCACGAGCATGTGATGGATACGGATCTGCCGCCGCGTCTATTGCGTCAGCATCGCTGTACACATGCAACTGCATACACATCGTAGATCGCAGGCCACCAGCACCTCCACCATCGAGATTCATCCTGTATGGCGGTCTCCGAAACCCTCCGTTGCCAAGATTTCCAGTGAAGATACTCCACAGGCTGGCTGGCTTGCATGGTAAACTCTCTTCCGCATCTCGCGCCATCGCCTGCTGAGTTGTTCACGCAGCAACGGGGCGGTCGACATTCACTCCCGGTTGCTCCCGGTCACTTTGTCTTCCAGTGGCTCACGTACCTCGATCCGTTGCTTCATGCAAGGTTTGCTATCTCTATCTGAGGAATCAAGTATCCCAGAAGTTAAACGAAGTACCAGATCAAGGCAGCGGGTTGCGTTATCGACTAGCCCATATGGGCAAAATAACAGACACCACAAGACTTCACGGCCATCACCCAAAAAAAAAAGCACTTTACAATTCCACTACCTATCAGCATAACCCACAGGACTAAACCGCCTTAAGATTAAAGCTCCTATTACAACAGAAAGTAGACGCATAAGTCTCTCCATCCGCCTCCCCTTTACCGAACCTGGATCCATTCTGCCCTAAACCACGAAGATACAGCATTTTAGACATACAGCTCGCTCTGCTGGGTGATCACCTGCTTGACCCGGATATGATCTTCCTTGAGCGGCGGGCTGCCGAGCTCGCTGCTGTTGCGGCTTTGGCTCACGCCCGCCCATGCAGTGGTGGAGACGGTGTTTGCGGTCGTCTCGGCGAGGTGATCCAGAGGTAGCGTTCTTTCTTGGCTGGATGTTCCCTTAAGGCGCCAGACGCGCTTGTACCACGGTGTATTACTGGGGTTTTTGGTTTGGAGGCTGATACCTTTCTCGATGTCGGGGAAGCCGCGGGGGATGGAGCGGGGGTTCGTCGTGGTGTTGACGCCGGTTCTGTAGGAGGTTAGGGCTTTGCTTGCTGTTGGGATAGTGCAGTGGGGCTGGGAGGGGTACGATACCTAGATGCAGAGGTCCATTTCCAGTGGAAGAGTAGCTTAGCTCGGCTGCTTGTCGAGCCGGTCGAGCCGGTCGAAATGGTGGTGGTTGTCGAGGGCCGGAGGCAGGGGAAGCAGTGATGCAAGCCCACAAACCTCATGATGGCGCAGTACATTTTCGTGGCGTCACGCCCGCTGCCGAAGAAGATAAAAAACATGAAGCCTGACGCTGCTGGGATCCAGCGGTCGAAGAATACCTGGCCCATCGTGGGAACTTTCACGATCGTGTTCCAAGTGGGAGGATGGGTATGGCTCCACGAGTATGCATGCCACGGTAGGGTGCGGGTGATGTTGGTGGTAACGACATAGGTCTGGACAGGGATGATGGCCAACAGCATGAGGAAGGCGAGCAGGAAGAGCCGCAGGAATCGCGATTTGTTCATGTTGCTGTTCGTGGACTGGATTATGTCGCCAAATTGACTTCGATACTTGCTGAGACGGTACAGTACAATCACTAGCAAGGTTAGCGACCGACTGTCCTGAGGTCTTGTGTTAACTTACCGCAATAATAACCAGCGATCAAGCAAATGACCAGGGGCCAGACATACGCCAGAACCAGGGTCACCCAGCTCTCATCGTAGCTATTGACGCAGCCGGCAATGGCAAAGAGAAAGTACCGACCTCCCTGATAGACGTATTGGGTGATCATCGCGATTGCGGGGGCTATGAAACAGAACAGAAGGGTCATTCCTCGATTCCACCACCGCTGCGATCTCGTCGGAACTAGAGCTGCACGCCTGGTGTCCAGCACGCAGGCCAAACTGCGGAAGATGCAAACGAGCGTCCCAGGGACAGCGATGTAGCTGGCGATCATGATTTTTCCCTCCACATCGCAGAGACCATTGCCATCCCACCAAGCGCTCACATCATCGGTTGGCCAGAGTATGGCGTTGACGATGTTGAAGACATTGAGAATCATGTACCAACAGATGAGGCTGCTGGCGGCAACGTTGCGATGTTTCCAGTGCAGCACCAATGGGACGATGCTCAATAGAAGAGAAACGAAGGAGATTACTGGCAGGAGAACCGCTTGCATATATAGCGGATAGATCGGAGCTTCTTGGGCACTCATCTTGGAGGCTGAGTGATATTAGCTTGGTAGGATAGATTCTCACGATGATCCACGAAGCTCTTGAGGTTGTTCAGCGCTTATCGTTCTGATACAGATGCATGAACTGTGGTTGAAGGAAATTCAGGAACCGGTATATCAGCAAGGAAGGATGGTCTTGGGTCATCTTGCTGGGCGCAGCAGCACGATATAGACAACGGTGGATCAATCTCCTGAATAAGGAGTAACATCAATGTCTTATTGACATCACGCAGGAGTAGACAGGTACGAGAGTATCGCAGCTTTGACTGAGGGTCTAATTGAGACACCATCGTGCCATTTGCCGAGGGGGTACACAGAATCAGAGGGCTGCGAAAAGAGCCGGCGAGTGTTGTGACTATGGAGAAGACGCCACTGAGCCCAATCAACGCAGGCATTTGAAAAACAGCCATTTACACTGAGTTCAAAAGAAATGAGTCAATGAACAGAATCTGCTTGATCATCCTTGAATAAGGGGGTCAGATTGGGGCGGTGGAGGAGAAGATGGCCGCTCGATCTCCAAGCCAGCCCTGAACTTCTCCCCCGACCTTTCCTATTTTGGGTCTCAAAAGACTCACTTCCACAACTTACATCAATCTCCTCAGTGTTGCGACTATTGCTCTCGGCCTCTCAAAAGGCTCAGCTCCACATGCTCAGTTACTATTTTCAGACTTTACGTTCATGTCAATATAGCTGTGGTGAATGGCCATGGTGAATCAGGGATACATGCAATGGGACTGAGCTTCGGGGTCACAAAGTACCAGATCATCTGCTGGGTGCAAAGCACTTACTGGCTGTACACAGGATCGGTGATATGCCGAACAACCGATCTCGGAGCTATCAGGCACAGGCCAGCTTCAGAGAGCTTGTGACAAAGAATCCACAAAGTGCTTTGTCACCCTTGCAAGAGCTTAAATCAAGCTTATGTGTCCAGGTCCAGGGCACCCGACTGGAGCCAAAGAACCAGCCAGAGATGCTTATATCTCATTTCTGCGATCAGGCTGTCGTGACAACTCAGCCTGAGGGTGTCCTTTCGTACCTAGTCTCCGCTTCGAAGTTGCGTTATGCAGATTGCCAAGCCGTTACCTCCATGGGAAAGACTGTTGCTGGAATCAAAGATGTCAGTATCATGGCTGTCGTTGTTCGTACGGTCTCCTTTCGCTCTAGAACTTTTCTCTCTAAATTCTAAACACACGGTGTCTTTAGACCGATCCTCGTTCTCAATGCTGTTCGAGTTGCAAAGCGGCACCAACACCAGGGCATATATGGTGCGATCAATGGCATCCCGTCGATCATTAGCCCACAGGCTGGCTCAGCTTTGACCGGCCTCAATTATTTCCTGGAGCTGGTGCCTCTACACCGAACTCCTACTTGGTGGTGTGAATTTTTCAATTCGATGTGCTCAGGCTTCACCAGATATGTCGGCTAGATAAAGACATTAACTACAATAACTGTGGGATGCGGGGTACTGCGATAAGTATAGCCGTTCACCAGATCGTTTTGTTTCTATCGATTTGCGTGCGTAAAGGCTGACAACTGACAGTAACTGTCCTACCCACAGTTAATTATATGTATTTGATCTTAATCGTCATAATACATGCCGCAAAGTGTTTTTCCTGGCTCCGCTTCTTGATAACCGCATAGACAAGGAATGGAGCCAAGGTTCCATCCAAGCAAAGGTGGAACCCTGTCGTCATGGGTAAGTAACCCCGACTTAAGCCTAAACGGAACTAGTGCCCGCCCCCAGGCAGTGATCGATGATCGATTCGGAGTTCGAGCCATGGCTGCTTTAGCGTCCGTCGTACAAGCAAGATAGATCTGCGTGACTGACTTTCCCTCCCTCCTCCCTGTCTCCCACTCACTCCCACTGCCACTTCCTTCTCTTTCTTCCCCCTCCTCATCTTTCTCTTCTTCTCTTTCCTTTCCTTCCTGCCAACTCTTCATCTCTTGGAAATTGTGTCCGCACGGTTCTACTGCATTGTGCCATGCCCGACCCAGCTGGCCCGTCGCGGTCAGCCCAGGCACACGACCACAACACCAGCAGTCCGCGCGTGCTCTCCCCGGATTTCACTAACCTTCGCCATCGTGGCCCAGCCCGATCTGCAACTTTTGCAGAAGGTACGATCTCCAACCTGCAAGCTCAGCGCCGTAATTCCACATTATCCGACTCAGTCTCGGAGGCTCGCAATTCAATTCGGTCCTCCACGGATGACATACTTTTCCCGCGCGTGGCTAAGGGAAGAGGTGACGTCGACCTGACAAATGAAGAATCACATTGGCACTCGGCTCCCTTGGGTCTGGCTCTACTGCCTGCCATTGCCGGCATCTTTTTCCAAAACGGTAGTGCCGTCGTCACCGACATCACTCTTCTCGTCCTTGCCGCCATCTTCCTAAATTGGTCAGTCCGATTACCATGGTATGTACTCATTCCTCAGCTGGTATCCTCTTCATCTCGTTTCGCTAACAGCACCAGGGACTGGTATCGCTCTGCACAAGCTATTCGACAGTCCTCCGACAAATACTTCGACACAGCGGAGTTCCCCAGGAGTCCTGAGCCGAGCGATATTCCCCTCAGCCCCGAATCTGGGGACAACACCCAACCACAGATCGCCCGTGAACAGCACCTCTCCAATAACGCCGCTGCAGCCACCAAGGAGCTGCAGATCCATGAGCTCGCCGCGTTGGTCTCGTGTTTCATATTTCCACTGATCGGAACATGGCTCCTTCACACCATCCGATCGAAACTTTCGCGGCCGTCGGAAGGCCTAGTCTCCAACTACAACCTGACTATCTTCCTGCTCGCCTCAGAGATACGACCATTCTCGCATCTCTTGAAGATGGTTCAAGCGCGCACTCTCCACCTGCAACGCGTCGTCGCCTCCTCCACCGAGGACGAGATGGACAAAGTCGATGCCCACAAAGTCCTCGATTTGGCCAAGCGCCTGGAAGAGCTCGAAGCTCACGTCGCCGAGACGGCCGCCGCACGACTCTCGCCGGGCCCGTCAATGAACGCCGAACAGTCGCCGCAGAGCGATACCTCCCAGGCCCTGATCTCCCAGGCCACCGCTGAGATGCGCAAGACCTTCCAATGGGACATTGACGCCCTGAACCGCGCCGTCCGTCGCTACGAGAAACGTACCACCGTCTTCACATACCAGACCGAGACGCGTTTCCAGGCCCTGGAGGCCCACGTGCACGATGCCTTCTCCCTGGCGGCTGCCGCACATCGGGCCAAGCCCCAGGGACTGATCAATCTGGTCATGGGGTCGGTGTACACCATTATCACACTCCCCGGACAGGTCTTCATGGGTGTCGTCGGTCTCCCGATGCAGGTGCTTCGACGTTGTCTACGGTACTGCAGGGAGAAGATACTGACCCAACCGCCACCGTCCACGGCACCTAACAAGGGAAAGCAACCCAGAGACCGCAAGGCGCAGCCCTTGAAGGGAACAAGACGTGTTGCGCCGCAGGTCCACTCAGTTGAATCGCGGACGCTCGATCCAATCAAGGAGTACAGATGAGAGACTTGGGGAAGAGTACGCGGTGAGTTGCAACCGACTGCGACACACTCAAAACTGGTCGCTATGACCCGCGCAAACACAGAGTTCCGGGACTTTATCCATCCCACCCACCTAGCAAGCATCGTATCTCGCCTGCATGTATTCTGGATTCTTTCTGGTTACGGTCGCATTTGGTGGAGCAAAAGTAAGCCCCCGTAGAGCGGGTGACGCTATATTGGACCAGAACCGTCTCTAGGAGCACCCGTGGACATGGCCATCTACAAATAATACAATAGTAAAGAAATGTACACCACAAACACTATCTATAGCGCTACGACCCCATCCCATCTCCACCCACCTCCCTCCCTCCCTCCGTATCCCCAGACCCAAGCAAAACACACCCATCCCACTAAGGTTCACCGCACATAGATCCCACTTTGAAGAATATTACCAAGAACGGCAAGATGGCCGAGTGGTCTAAGGCGCTGCACTCAAGGACCCTTCACCTCCTTCTTCAGATCTTCTAAAGTCTGAGGAGCATTGCAGTCACGCAAGTGGCGTGGGTTCGAATCCCACTCTTGTCATTACTTTTTCGATTTTTGTGTCTCGCTTCTTCTATACTTCTTAGCTTGTGGTAGGTATATATATATTGCTAGGTAACTTAACTTGGGTTGCGACTGAGCGAGGGGGAAGGAGAGGGGAAGGGAAGCGGGGTGCCCGTTTATGCTGTATTCCTCTATGTCATGGAATAGTCCAGGGAGGGAGGGAGGGGGGGAGGGTTCTACACAATTTCCAGTTCTACCATGATTAATATCATTAGCTTCAGCTCATTCTATCATTGGAAAGAAACAAGCTCAACGCCTTCATTGACAATACCGAAATACTCTCTTTCTCCCCCTCTGAATAGAATTCTGTATACAAATTGAAAAGGGCGAAACACCCAGCCAGAAAGAAAACTCTATGCCTATACCCATCTACTAAATACTCGGAACTATACAATAATAACATGGTTACATACAAATCAAGGAACACCGCCCGACGGCCCCTTGCTGTCCACCCCAATGGTTTTCAGGAATGGCTCAATGAGGCCCCGTTTGCGCTCCTCCAGCGCCCGTCGGTCCTTCTCCTTCGCGGGCACGGGACCCTCCGTGGAGATCAGCACCGAGGCGAAGATGGTGGCTAGGGCTGTTTCGACCGCTTGGCGGCGCATGGCCATTTGTGAGATGGCTGGGGAGGGCTCCGAGACGGAGGAGTTGAAGGTGCGGGTTCGGCGCCGGAAGGCGTTGGCGGATATGAAGGATGAGGGGGGTGGTGGTGCTTGTTGTTGTTGTTGTTGCTGTTGTTGCTGCTGCTGCTGCTGTTTTTGTTGCTCTTGCTCTTGGGATGTGAGGTCTTTTGCGGAATTCTCCTGGGATGAGGCTCGATTTTCGGGCGGTGGGGATAGGATCTTAAGAGGGCCGTGGGTGGGAATGGATGAGGCTGGGGCGACTTCGTTGGCGATGCGGGCTAGCATGAAGGTTACGAAGGTGAAGGATACGCTGTGGGCGGGCGAGTAGGCGAGGCTCTCCAGCACCCACGCTTGGGTTTCCTCCCAGGACAGAGGAGATGCGCCGGTTTTCTCGCGGGCGAGGATCTGTTGATCTAGGTTCTGCCAGACGGTGCTGGTGACGACGCCGTCCTTCAATGACCGAAGGAAGACTATCAGTGTTTCGCTGAGGATCTCAAGACGATGTAGACAAGACACCTCCGGGGAGAAAACGATGTGTAAATCCTTGTTGGTATCCAGAGCCTCGCGAGCGGCTGCCAGGAGCGAAAGACGCTCGTCTTGGTCGCGTAATGTCCATGTCTCAGGTTCAAAAGGCCAACCATAGCCGAAAGGTTCCTTGGTCCAAGGGGGCATGTCGTCCTCCGAGTGCCCTCTGGTCATACTCCATTCGGCAACGGCTCGCTCAGTCATCTCCGATATAGCTTCGGTCAGTCGGAAGAGCTCGCGAGGCGCCGATAACGGCACGGCCGTGCCTTCTCGCTGACGCTCGTGTTTGCTGAGGCTGCGCGCCCCTGATTCGGGCATCATTGTGAGCTCTTCAAGGGAGCGGCCAAAACAGGTGGGTAGCCATTTCCCATACGCAGAAATGAAATGGTCTCGACCATTGATCACTCGGAGGACAAGAACTTCCTCCAGACTCAGTTGGCCCTGGTTTAGTAATCGAGCCAGCTCGATATTTCGAACGTACGCCGAAACTTCAATGTTTGCGATCTCTCCGGGTAGGAGAGTGCATTCGTTCGTCGGCAGCTTCTGTTTCGAGTCTTCCGAATCAGAGTGATGCACCCGGTACTCCAACCAGGAAGCATCCTGTTGGGAAGCATCTTGTTCCGGCTTCTCCAGGGAGAATGTTGCGGATACACCGCTGGTGTTTGCGACTGTCAGGGTTCGAGTGACGGGGACATCGAAAGGCACATCTCCGAAATTCACGGCGTTGGGGTCTTCGCTCGTTGGTTGACTACCGTGATGGTCGACGACAACAGTGAGTCCTGGACGAGACTCGTTTTCGACCTTGTCCAGTACCCGAACCACTTCCTGATGAATCTTGGCCTTGACCTGTGGGTCCACAGATTCAAAGGTCAATGTGAAACCCGCCGCTAGAGGCTTATGGTCTGATGAGAGGATTCCTTGATGGGACAGGTAGTAATCTAGTTGAAGCGACTCATCAGCCTCAGTGGCCGACACGAACGAATCATCCTCGTTGGCCTCCTTGTCCGGATCATATTCATCTCCGCTGTCGGCTCCGTCAACATCTGGGTCATAATCAAACAAGACATTGTCATCGGCAGCCGCCTTGTCTAGGCCCCTGGCCTTCATCTCCTCGTCGCGCTTCCTAGCCACTTCGGCTTCCTTCGCCAGTCTCTCAGACCTCAGCTTATCCTTGCGCGATCGGAATAGGATCCGGTCGCACCAACTGGGCCCGCGATTCTTCTCACTAGAATCAAATCGGCCCACGCTGCCTACATCGTACTTGTAGGTCGGCAGGAAGGTGATCGGACCCTCTCGCCATCCGTCATGGAAAGCCTTTCGCTTGCTCTGCTGCATCTTGAGTTGGTCATGCGGCAGTAATGACGAGATTGTGGTCTGTAAAGACGCGGGATCTGTATGCGGATCGATGTCTTCGTCCGAAACAGGTGGACCGGAGCTGCTGCTTCTCTCCTCCTGACTGGACGATCGACGATTCTCGACGTCTTTAACATTTACCTGCGGTGATGCGGTACGGTCATTGGCATCTACCCGTAGCCTGTGACGATTGTCGTAATCATTCGCTGTATGTCGAGCCAGCACTCGCCGCACGTCGTCGCCGGGGATATCATCCAGCCGATAATTTAGATCACCGAACCAAAAAGCAAAGTCCTCTTGCCCGATGCTCTCAGCGGGGTCTTCCCGAAGACTGGCGTTCGGGTCAATGGGTTCGAAGCGAGCCCGTGTGACTATTTGCGAAGCATCCCAATTCCGCCGCTCCAGACTGTTCTTATCCGACCCAGCGGCCAGGTGGCAATTGACGAAGACAGCGCATGTCGTTTCACCGAGCACCAAGCGAGTCGCAACAGCGCCTTTATTACCCATGTACCCTAGAAGCCCCGTACCCACACTGGTGCAGCTGACGGACGATACCTGGCTAGCCAAGGATGGAGACGCATACACCAACTGCAGCAAGCCCACCAGCTGTGTCTCAGCAATCAGCTTATATCCCGGCGGCAAGGCCTTTTCAAGCGCCGCTTTCCACCGATTCGCAGGCGCAGGATCGACATACGGTCTCAGCGCTTCCGCAGGCGACGAGACATCCACAATCTCCTGTAATCCAAGAACGTAGAGATCGATCTGGTCCGGCGCAGTCTCAGACAATGACTCCGTCTCTCCACCTGTTGAGTTGTCTGGCTTGTCTCCTCCCTGCAAATCTGTGACCCGCAACCCGGACAGTTGCTCGCATACCCCCTTCTGTTGTACGAACCAGTTCCCGATGTCGTCCTCGGTGCCGGGGATGGCAGCCACATTCCACGTGCCGACCTTGACTCGGATGGATTGTTGTCGGGTATATTCGGACTTTCTGGCTTTGACGGCCTGCGGCAGCGAGGAAAGATCGGTCTCGGGAGACAGCTCGTTGTCGCCGGGGAATTCGCCGGAGATGTGTGGCTGCGATGACGGTCGCTGGGGGTTGGAAGTCATGCTGTATTAGTGAAGGAATGCTTTGCGCATCCGACTTCAGTGTCGTGGATCTATATACTTTATAGGGTGGCCTCCGAGCTATGCGGGCGGATACGAGCTCGCCGCGGAATGACACGCGGCGCAAACGGCTAGATAACGAGTGGAAGCTATGCGCGGGACTTCTGTACACTAGAAAGCGAACATGCTGGAGCTGTAGAACGAAAGGTCAGGGGGCGTTCTGAGGTTGAGAAAGACTGAAGGTATGAAGGTATGGATCCGAGCGCCGGTGGCAACGCCGTAGCTGCATGGGCTAGAAGCCGGCAGAATCGGCGGCTGTGGTGTAGGGAGAGGGGATCGGAGGGCTCACAGGAGAACAGTCTGGAATTGCCAAGAACTACGACCCTTGTAGAGCCGAGTAAAAGAAAGGGGGCGGGTGGAAGTTGAGTATGAGGTGGTGTAGAATAGAGAGCGGGAGAGGGAGAGGGAGAATGAATGGGAGGGAATCCAGACCGCGGGGGGGTTTCCGACCGCCAGAGCTGAGCCGAGCTTCTTTCCGCCGCGACTTCCCAATCGTCATCATCGCTTCCGTTACACACCACTTACTCCCTTTTCGCAACATCCACACACACACTCTCTCTCCCTCTCCATACACATTCAATACACAATGAGCGCTCGCAAACCCCGACGTGCCCATTCGAATCAGGGCCATAACAACAATAACCCACGAAACCATCAGCATCCTCCCCACCTCAGCCAGGGCGGTTTCGCCCAACCCTCCGACTACGACTCCGACTACCAGACCTATCTCTCGGACACTCAACAACAACCACAACCTCAAGCTACAATGGCAACGAACACCACCCCTCTACCACCGCTGCGCACCAACGAGGACCTCAACCTAGCCGTCCTCCGACGCCACAACCCCGCCATCACCTCTATCCTCTCGCTAGCCCAATACGCAGTGGTCTATATCTTCAGCCCGGCGACGCGGCAATGGGAGAAAAGCAGCGTGGAAGGCACGCTGTTCGTCTGTCAACTAGCGCAGGGCCCGCTGGGCGAGGAGCGGTACAGCGTGTTCGTGCTCAACCGGCGGGGGCTCAACAATTTCGACCTACTGCTCACGGACGGCGACAACGTCGAGATCACCGAGGAATACATCATCCTGAAATCGGATCACGCGCCGGAGGGCTTGGGCCATGTCGCTGGGGCACCGCCACCGCAACAGCAGCAGGTGAATCCTACAGGCACGGGTGCGAGTGCGGCCGGCAAATCCCCTGGCAGTGACATCCGCATCTACGGGTTGTGGATCTACAGCGAGCCGCCGCCGAACTCGACGGCCGAGACGCGCAACATCAACGCGCAGATGATCCGCGAGTGTGCCGTGCATGCCGGCGAGAGCTTGAAGCTGGCGCGCGAGCGACTGGAGGCCACGCGGCAGAATGGGCTGCATATGGCGGCGGCGACCGCGGCGGCAGCGACCACGACCGCCGCGCCGCTCGACGAGGTCCAGTCGGACGTCGTGCCGATGGCGCGCCAGATCTCGCTCAAGGATATCTTTGGGCAGCAGCGCGCGCAGGATGATGCCTGGAGCGTGCGCGCGCATCAGCTCGCGCCGGCTGACTGGCAGCATGCACCGCCCCCGCCCCCGCCGGGGGCTGGGCCTGGTCCTGGACCAGCTCAAGGCTCGGTTGCAGCCGCCCCGGCACCGCAGCCGGACGTCCTGGGGGATTTGTTTCGGCGGGCCGGGCTGGCGTATCAAGGGACTCAGTGAGGGGGTGGTTGTGTATCTTTGGCCGGAGGCAGGAAAGATGAGATACCCATGAACGACATGCAAGATGATTCAGCACAGATAGAAGCCGTTGCTTGAAGTGGATGTATAGATTCCGTAGCCCATCCCAACGCTCACCACATAGCTCTATCTGACGACACACCTACACACTCAAGACCCTTCTCTAGTATCACCCAACCACCTCCTTAACCATCTCCGCAACCTTGGCAGCCATAACCTCACTATGCCCTACCCGATCCCAAAAAGTCAGCACATCCAACCGAGAACCAACGCCCCAACAAGGTAGAAAATAGAAAGTCACAAAAAACTCACGCAAACAAAAAGCATGAGGCGACCCCTCCTCACAAACCACCATCGTGGGACCCCGGCCCTCCGTAGCCTTCCCCCTCAGCGCAAGGATCTCCTCGCGCGTCTCCTCCGCCACCCAATGGTCCTCTCGTCCGTAGTAGAAGAACAGCTTCGCTAGCGCTTCGGACGAACCGGCATCGGATGAGATGCCCCAGACTTCGTCGGCCCATTCGTCTGAGTTTATGCTGTACATTTCTGAGGCGGCCATGTGTCTGTTTTTTTTTCGGGTTAGCTGTGTATCCACGGATGGTAGGGATGATTCTCATGAGGAAGGTAGCGAGACGATTCCCTCCCGTCAGTTGAGCATGAAGTGCAGGAATGACTCCCAGCTCCGCAACCACCCACACTCCAGAAGCGAAGGACCATCAACCCGATTCCCGGGAAGAGGAAGAAAGAGGGAGAAAAAAGAAACGTACAAAGCCTGCCGTACACCACGCCTACTCCGCAGAAACGCAACCGTCGTATCCACAGCCTCCTGTGGCGGGGACCCCATGACCAGAGCCACCAGACCGCGAAGCAGAAACCCCGGGAGGAGGGTCGTCAAAGCCCTTGCGAAGAAGCTGGCGATGAGGGCTAGATGCGGGAGGAAGGATAGGAGGGTCTTCATATCAGCCAAGCTGGTGGTTAGTTCTGTGTTTACATGCTTGAGGAGGCGGGGGGAAGGGGAGGGGGAGATGGCTGCAACATACGGTCAATTTCCTCCCGGACGGAGACTTGGCGATGTCCACGACTGTCGGGAAGAGGAGGATGCCGCTTATGATGTCGAAGGTTGGGAATGCGTCGGTAGACGATGAGGATGTGCGTTCGCGGTGGCGGCGGATGAGTTCCATGGCCATGTAGGTGCCCACGGAGTGGCCGATTAGGATGATCCTGGGTTTGGGAGTGGGGGTGGATGCTGCGTTGGCGATGCCGGTAACGCACTCGTCTAGCTTGTGCTGTACGAAGCGGATCTGGTCTTCGAGGTCGTGGTAGTAGGGCTCTGCGGCGGAGGCGGAGTCCCCGCTTGCTGAGACTTCGAAGCCGGCGAGGCTGTGGCCGTGGAGGTGGATGGTGGGATTGCCATTGTGCTCCGAGACTAGTGGCTTCAGTTTCTCGATCAGATGCGTGAAGAATGGGTAGTAGTATGATATCAAGCCTGGATTGCCGGAGATGAAGTAGATGAGCACGGGGCTGGAAGATGAGGGTTTCTTGGCGGACAAGGTGTGGAAGAAGCTGTCCGGGGTCATGTGGGGGTCAATTGGTGGAGACATCATGCATGACTCAACTTAAGCGGCAGTCTGAAGATCCCTGAATCATGTCCTTCTCGCGTAGTCTGGAACTACTGAACTGGATTGCTGCGGAAATCGAACAACTTTCCCTTTCCGCTTTAGGTCGAACTTGGCGCCGCTTTTTGCTCACTGAGCGGCCCAGAGCGTGGGGGGAGCACAGAAGTGCGTGTCCTGAGCAATTCCTGAGCGATCCCGGATTGCTCCGGGAGTAAACACTAGAGAAAGTGACCGTCACCCTGAGAGCTCATCTGAGCTTACTAGTGCTGGTCATGTGACGCATTTAAAATGTGCACAACTAAAATCATGTATCTCACTTTAGCACCGCCGGAGTGCCCGTCATTTTCCTGGTCCTCTATAAACACTAAGCCCCATTTTAACTCCTTTAACCCAAAAGTAAACGTGGACATACTCTCGAGCACCAATAGTGTCAATACAAAGTTTTACCAAACAGGCTTCGCCTACGCGCCAACAATGCTCTACAACCACTAAAGACCTATACTTCTTCTACCTACTACCCTTTTAGACACCGCCATGTTTTACTGCAACAGGGCCTTGAAACTTGTCTATGCGTAGCATACATGTGATGCGCTATTTTAGAAACACCTGAAAAGCTGAGTGAGGCTTGGCAGTGTAGGCAGTACAATGCATTTCCCAAAGCAGACGTCGAATCACCCACCCTGCGAACGAGGACCTTCAGTTCAGTTTCTATCTCTTCAAGAAATTTTCATTAGCGCAATATGGTAGATCTACCGTAGTTGTGCTAAAAGAATATCGGGGACAGATCCAAAACTATATTCTTCTTTGTCACAATATGCTGAAGTCATACAGTATCACTCCCTCAAATATCTTTCGAACTACCGTAATTATATGCCCTGCCAGAGAGATATGTGATTGTTGTGGGAATCTTTCTCTCCCGGTACTAGCACTATGTACAAAGTAGCTCAGGTACAACATCTTCAGGTTGAGATGATGAGATATGTATTTGCTTAGTGGCGTGTATAGCAACAAGTCGGTGCTTGGGACACTTTGAGCTTGTAGCCTTCATGAGGAAGTCTCATGAGAATGCATCAAGGAATATCCCAGTTAGCTCATCCGTACAGATTTCTTGACTACACTGTAAACGTGCCTAATCAATAAACTCTAATTTAGACTAGCAAATACCTCAAGAGCCAACGGTGGAGGAAGAGATAAGTTGGCTATATTGTTGTCACTCACTAAAATGAAGGCTACTCCTTTCATGTCGCAGGAGAGCGTGAAAGACGAACTAGAGTATTCTGTCATATGGGTTGGACTGCAATGGCACATTTGAATTTGGCTGGAAGCATTCCATAAAGAATAGTTAAGCTATATAGGCCGAGAACCTATTGTCTAGTATATTGTGAGGCGATAGATCGGAGTAAGAACTCCATGAATCGTCTTAGTAGTGGGAGCACTATCGGCATGTTCTGCGCGAAATTTGGAAGCCTATAATCATTCATGTGACTTATCGTACTAGCGTGAATCTAAACATACTAGTGTATTAACAGAAACAAAGAATAACCATTCTTTGTTTGTAGGGAATAGCAAGTAGAGAAGTAGGGTTTTCCCCTGCCGATGGCTTAGCAGTCATGAAAGGGAAGCGCTAAGTGATTTGCCTATCAGGGCAGCCGTGCGTTACTGCCAGGTAAGTACAAAGATGGATGGTAGACATCTCAAGGTTAGTAAAGATAAATTGGACGCTTATCAACTAGGGCTACCAACCCTTAATTAGGTGCCAAAAAGATATAAAGGATGTCAAATCACCCATACATGTGATGGCTTAACAAATAACTCTTGATGCATCGATTGCCTACATCTGATCTTTGCCAGAAAGACAAGGTATGGTCTACCACTCAAACTTTTTTACATGAATGTCCCTTGATTGTCATCCATATCTTATACATACCTGACATATAATCAGGCTGTTCTACCCTCCAGGGCCATAACTAGATATACTCCAATCCAGGTACATTTCATTTGAGACCAGTTTGGGTAAGTCGCAACTTTTCCCTCGATATCAGGGAGAACAGCATCCTTGGCTGATATCTCAAGCTTAAAAGCTTGGGAGAAGTACTCATGGGTTGATATGTGCTTGTTTCACATTTTCCACCCATTTCAAACATACAGCAGCTCATCACTATACAAAAACCTGGATTCAAGGTAACAAAGAGGCGCTTTTTCCACTGTACTATCTCGGATGGCCTTAATTCCGGATCATGAGCCCGAGATCAGACAAGCAGCGACTCTCCCTTCCGGATGAGTTCCAGTCATGGGCAGAGACCCGTTTCTCGTTCAACACTGATACGAGCATCGTGGTAGACAAATGCACAATCACTTGGAACTATACATGCATGAAGATGCGCCTTTCAATCCATCGATTAGATAACCATCTGACGGTGAGGTGAATTTACTTACTGCTTGCTACTGGAATTCATGTTCGGACTAGATCTACCGCCTCAGACTGCTTCACCGCCTCAGACCGCTTCACCGCCTAAGACTGCTCTACCGCCTCAGACTGGTATGTCTACGGCCTGAGACTGGGTTGACCAATCCACCGCTCGAGGTTAAATACCGCCTGAAATCTACCTCACCGCCCGAGCCTGGATAACGCCTGGATTAAATCCACCGCCTGATGGAGGACTTCTCAAGGCGGTAAGGCTGCAGTTCACCGCTCGGTAACATACAAATCCTTGGAAACGATACAGCTTCCTTGGTATACATTGTACCGTATCAGCTTCTTTTATGCCACACTGTGGCTCGACCATGACCCGTACGTACATCGGCTTGTCGATAACAGACGATAACGGAGTGTATTGGAGATGGACAATACAGGTCAGTACGGCTTTAGCAATTAATTAATCGGTCCTCAAGAACGACGAACGATTTCTGTTCTGAGGGCTCTAATCGTCAGCGCATGGCAAGCGCCTACAGAACTTGAAACCAAATGATATGATCCAGCCAAAAGACGACTTGATTTGAACAGAAGGCTCGATTTCAAACACCGAAATTCACAAAGTGTGCTGACCCCTTGCTTTCCATCCATATTCCCAAGTCTGACGGTTTTAATCAAATACTTTCTGGCTACACCAGCCCAGTTGGTTGGGTCTCAGAAGGGTTCGATGCTGGACTTCTAATCATCTACCGGATGCGAATAGGCAGCGACTTAGCCTTTCGCCCAAATCCCAAAACAACCATTCGTCATGAAGATTGACTTGGTTTCAGGCTGCTCGCATGATCGCCATATAAGGGCCATGTCTCTGATTTGTTGCAGCAATCAGAAACTAGAGGATGTTTCAGTCTTTTTCAAGCAGTGAATTAGCAAGGTAAGATGAGGCACTGACAGGCGTCGTCATCAGTCAAGCCTTGATGTCGCTGACTTTGTATCACTTTTCAGTCTGCTGTGATTGGAGCGCAAATGACTTGGCATAGAGCGGGGGAAGTTGAAGCAACTCTGCCGCCATTATTCTTCCTATAGAACTCAATACTCCCCATGGACACTGTTCTTGTTCGGTCTCCGATTGTTTTCGTTGAAAAAATATCTCACCCCTGGCAATGGGTCCGACATTGGGAAATGACACCATCGAAGTACATGGGGTGACCAACCCGGACGATGAAGATACACATGATAGCCTTCTGTCTCTACGATGGACCGTTGAGAGCGGCTGGTGGCGCCGATCCAGGTGAGTGCAAGACAAACGATGTCAAGGATCAGTCCCTCACATACGTCTACAGCTATGCAGGCTGTCTCTTGTACAATGTCGGCTCTTTTATGCTCCCTGCATTGTACAGCACTCTAGTCAAGATCTGGATTGCGAATATTGACTCTACCGTGGTGGTTACAACGGACGTTTATACTTATATCGGCACTGTTGCAGAAGTACTTAACGAAGGTCTTCCTCGTGCCGTCTGGGTGACTATTGCCGATCAAGTTACGCGGTCATACAAGTCTCGTCTAGAACTCGCACATGCTCTGGTCGCGTTCCAAACAGTCCTCGGTCTGATCATGAGCATAATTTTCACCAGCGCAGCCAAAGCCTTCACAGCAACCTTCGTCCCGCGCGAGGCTCGGAAAGCAAGTATTACCTATGTTCAAATTAGTGCATTCTCAGCCCTCAGCTCCGCTATAGAAGTTGCAGTATCCAACGCCACAAGGGCTCTGGACAAGCCCGACGTTCCTCTCGTGATTAGTTCGGTCAAGATTATCGTGAACATTATCATGGATCTCCTGATCATATCCAAGTTTCATGTGGGTGGCTGGTCTCCTAATATTATTCAGAGAATAAACCTGTCCGAAGAACGACGCAGCTGGCACTGGATTATAAAATTCCCGAGATTTTCTGCCTTCTTAACGCTTCTCAAACCAGGTTTAATCACTTTTGTCGAGTCGGCAGTTCGAAATGCGCTATACCTCTGGTTGGTTGCAGAAATAGTGACCATGTCCGCAGACTATGCTACAGCGTGGGGAATATTCACCACAATTCGATGGGGTTTGATCATGGTGCCTGTTCAGGCACTGGAGGCTACGTCTCTCGCTTTTGTGGGGCATTTCTGGGCTACTTTCCACCTTGACTTAGATTACTCATCACACCTTGTGCGGAACCCGTCCAGAGTGGCACGTTTGGCGCGTTCGTGTGACCCTAGACTCACGTCCTTTATCCTCCAATTCGTGCCAATTCCGAAACCACATGGACATAGAGGCACTAGACAATATAAGGTGGGCTATGAATTCCTTCGGGTCGACATCTTATATTCCAGCTAACGTTTCGTGACATTTCTAGTCTCCCTGCCTACTTCTGAAACCCCCGGGGGTTTAGACCGGAAAAGCACTCGAACGTCATTTGCTTCAGTGCTTTGAACCTTCCATTCCAGTCAAGCCACCATGAATATCTCGCCCTCATCCATATTCGTCATCCAAATAGTCACGTTACGCTCGGCCGACACTGGGTCATTTCTGAAGTGCAGAAGGTAATTCTGGAGCATCGCAGCAGTGTACGTATTCGGCTTAACCTTGGCAGCGAAGGATTCCGACAACTGAACAATATCGTTCAGCGACCAACTTGAAGAGGCTGGTTCCAAAGAACAACATATTCTCATATCATGGGGATCGACAATATAATGGTGGTCTGAAGGCCTCACAAAGAATGTTAGGAATATTTCCTTGATATCTCTTGGGGTAGCGAAGTGGAAGGGAAAGACTCGGTCCACCCGGCCTGGGCGTTGGAGGGCCTTGTCAAGAGACCCTGGGTCGTTTGTGGTCATGATCAAGATTCGCCCTTCCTGGGCAGAGACACCATCGATGATATTGAGGATTTCTGAGAGGCTTAGGCCACCCTGCGAACAGTCAGAGGAATCTGGAAATTCATGGCTTCTATCATTGTCTGACGCATCTTCAACCTGGGAGAGAGACTCGCTGATATTGCGATTCTCTATCCCGGCCTGATCGACATCCTCAAAAAGGACGAGACATTTCTCCGGTAGAGATAAAAACAAGCGGGTGAGGCTGTCACCGTCGACATTGTTTGAGTTGAGACTGACTGTGCAGATTTCGAGGCCTATCAGACTAGCAATAGCGAGGCACAGGCTTGATTTGCCAGTGCCCGGTGGGCCTTGAAAAAGATACCCCCTTCGATATGGAATGCCACGTTTTTGGTACCAGGAACGAGTACGCGGATGGAGAAAGTCTGTCAGTTCGTCGACAAGCGCATTCTTGATAAGCGGATCTATAATGATAGTCGAGAGGGGCCTTGGCATCTTAGATGGCAAATTCATCCACTGTCGCGCTGGTCCATCCTTGAGCCCCTGGCTTATGCGTACGCGGTTGTTGTTCGTCTTTATGTTAGCCCCCTGTATCTCTTGCAAGAGCTTTCGAAGGGCATGCTGACTCCAAGCATACAGATATAGCTTCTCCCGGTGATCAGTCCAAGGGCTGCCAGCTTCCTTGTATGGTTGACGACAGAAACCGAATAGAGTACCTCGATATCGGAAGAAGTGAATACCAGGAGGTGCAGGTGTGTAGTGAATAGGTTGAATCGTCTTCAGTTCCCTAATCTTGATCCAAAATTCCCGTTCGTCCTTCTCGAACTGGACAATCTCTTCCTCAGAAAGTTCCGTTTGCTGTTCGGTCTTCTGATCATTCTTGTCCCATGGAGAGACAAAGCTGATTTCGGTTCCTGCAATTGAGTCTTGTGTTGTGCTCAATTCTGGCAACTGTGAGACCCAGCACATCACGTTCTTGTATATATCGTCGTTATATCTGATTTGAACTGAGGATGCAAAGGGAAGAAGAAAGTGATAAGGGCGAGTCCAGAGTACCGGGAAAAAATACATGCAGGCCACTAAGAGAGCCGCGGATGCAAGGAGAAAGATCGAGGCATTTGCATGGAGGTAAATTTTGACAAGACGAGCAAAGAAGCTGTACCCGGGTAGAAGACTTTCAAGCAGGGCCTCAGGCGCTTCTAAAAAAGATACAGTTTCCGTTGGATTCATGATTAATAGGGTTGGAAGAAAGAGTGTCGAAGATGTGGTTCAGTCGACAATATAAGATCAAGCAATTGGTTCAATTTATGTACACGGTCGTAGCAGGTTGCGGGTTGGCAGGCCTAACAAGCTGACTACAGGGTATTCTTGATTCTGTTTTTATACAGTATCCGATGGTCCGTAATGTGAAATTACCGAGCTTTCGTAAACATTGCAGGACAAGATCGTTTCCTGCTTCCCATAGTGACATTTGTCCAGCTACAGTGCCTTTATTCCGAAGAGCTTTGCTGCATACCAATTAAGCGATCTTACATACGCCAATAAAGTTTTACTGTATGCATGCTGTCTGTAAGCCGCAGCATTCTAGATTAAGTCCGATCTACTGACTCGCCTGTGGACAGGGCGGCTCAAAAACCAGGCTACTGCAATATTCGTTACGGTATTGTTCTGTTAAGCGCCAAAAACTACTTCCAGATTCGTAGTTATCACAAAGTACAGCCTTTTCGCATGATCCACAAACACCCAAAGACAATTTTCTTGTCTGCACTGGCGACAACAGCGTCCAGAGGGACCGTCTCCTCTTACTCCCTTCTCACAGACACAGCAAAATATCAGGCTTGTAGCGCGCATTCGAGGATGTCGACGAACAACTTTGTTTCCTGGGGCTGTTCTTCCGCAGCACATCTCCTGGAAACCAGGTTAGTATTTGCAAATTCTCGCCAGACTGTTCTGCCTTACCTGCTCATTTAACAAGATTTGACTTGGAGGCATCGTTTCTCTCCCTGCTTATTCCCTGAGGCTTTCTCTTATCAATGTGAGGATTCACTTCAGGAATCTGTTTTTGCTATTGATGAAGAGCTTACTCGAAATATGGAAGCGAGTAGCGGGCTTCAGCGGCTTCACCTCGACATAGGTAGAGGAGGAGAGATACAGCAAGGAAGATAGACCAACAGCACAATATAGCTAGGGCAAGCGAACATACTCGGGACAGAATTTTTGCTAAGACTTTTATTGATTGCGAATGAATGAATCCGATAGCTTGACTCTTTATAGATCATGCAAGACAATGTATAATTCCCGACAAAAGCAAGCACCGTTATACTTTTCAAAAAAAAAAGGGCGAAGACTTTCAGCGACTAGGTACATGGCATCTACAGATGCAATCTGAGTTTGATCCTTGCTCAGACTGACAAATCAAGAGCCCATCACTTGGTTTCATCCCAAGTTTCCTCCAGGCAGACTCTGGCACCATAGTTCGGGCGACATCAAGATTGAGCTGGAGTATAGTTCGATCGACCGGTTTGAGATTTTCGGCTTGAAACTTAACTGGACAAGTGATAATATGGCTCTTCCAAGGAGTTTTTCGAAAGCGAGCCAGAAACAACAAGTAAGGCCCGTTCTTATTGATGACGAGTCCGTGATATGCTTCAAAAAAAGATATACCGAAATCGGTTTCGGCTTCGACCACGTTTAGAACTTTATCATTGTCTTGTGAGGATTTCCGAAGCATCGGAGTGATATTCGCATAGCCAGAGACGGATGTGCTTATAGGTTCGCTTCTTGACATGGTTTTGGTAGTTGGCCAAGGGAGGCAGGATTTCCAGATTGCAAACAAGCTGAAGCAAAACATATTAGATGGTCGACAAAGATTGTAGGATCACGATAGAATTGACTCCATTGATTCATTTATTGGCAATTTGCAGTGAACACGGATGATTCTGGCTTTAATATTCACCTGGTATTCTGACAAATGGTCCTCACAATCCAGCTTTCAGCAACGGAAGAAGCTCTACATTATCCGAACCCAGGCCCATTGGAGTTTTCTCAGTAATGATTTTGCAGATACTACTTTAGTTCCCGACATTGAATGTGTATAGTTCATTGCGCTGAAATGATTTTTACGACCACAAACAGCACTATAATTCCAGGGATTTGCGTAAAGAAGATGGCATAATCTGTGAATCGAGAGACCTGATTCGTGCATACGTAGTTTATAGAGTCACGCTATACAATACTGACGTCAGAATGGAGGAAAGAGGGGAGCAGAGGAGAGCAGAGGGGAGCAGAGAGGAGCAGAGAGGAGCAGAGGAGCAGAGGGGAAGCAGCTTTGTTGCCCCGCTCACCCCTCCCGGATTATGGGTGGGATGTCTGCATCAACATTATTCCGGTTCCGTATCCCCTCCATAGCATTGTTGGGCACCATTGCTTTTGCTAGTTTTCCGAAGAATATTCCGTGACTGATTTCCTTTCACTCAATTAACGCCCACCTCCTAATGAATTTCGAAGCTCTGTATGAAGCTCTGTAGTCACATCACTCAAGTATCTTAAATGATCCTTGATTTACCTCTAACACCATTTTGGTCAAGTGTGTCTCCCCCTTTCTCAGAAGCGAGAACTCCTGGCTAATGATGTGAGCCACAAAGCAGATACTTTTGCCAATCAGATTCCTACTATCTCAGTACAGAATACGGAGCTAGATAACAGCAACACGTGCAAGCCTTCGTGATAAATATCACTCGCCATGGCCGAAGGCCCGCAACTTTTGCATGTTACAGACATAGCGAACGATGACCAGAAGCTGGTGGAACTTGTACGAAAAGAACTTAAGGAATGGAGAAACTTGGAAATTCCTGCAACTTCGTCAAACATTACGCTAGAACAGAACTGGGTCATTTGCAATGAGGGTGGAAAAGATCTCGGCACGGCAGATCGATCGATTCGTGCTCTCCTCGTCACTCAGAAAGGAAAGTGGGGTGCTGTTAGAGTCGACAGTGACCCGGTCACAAATGTTGTGACTGGTAAAGGAGACGAATGTTACATTGTTTTCATAGAGCCTGGTCAGGTCTGCCGCTTTTATCAACAACCTGCGGTCCGATACTTCCGTCTGCAAGGCTCCTAGACGCGACGAGGTGTTGAATCAATGATTCGCTCGCTCTGAGAGACAGTTCTATCTTCGCACTCCGGCCATTTATGTCAAGGCCGATAGTTGGCAGTGGCTGACCGGATAGGTGACATATCATCTCCAAACTCTGGCGAGAAACATGGCTTTCCAAAAAATTGAACAGTTCAGTTAGACTAAGGTGAACCGCTGTAGGTGGAGGCTGACTGTAAGGCATGTCAATCAAAGCTCGATATATATGTACTCAGAGGATATATTTACCTCGCGAATGCTGAGAACACGCTCCATCGACGGCTCTCATAAGCTTTGGCTACAGGAGCTAGGCTCGATGGATGCTCAACCGTCGCCCACCATTTGGCTATTTGCGACTCACAATTGACAGGGTCAACTCTGGCAAGCCTCGACGTACTCGTACCGAGTGCGCATAATAGGAAAACCTCAATACCCAAAGACTTTTTGTTGTAAATTATTTCTAGAAGTGCTCTGGCTCGATTTCTGACCCATCTCTGAGATTGGCGATCTGGAATCTGCCAGAGGTTGAGAAATTGGTCGCTCTTGTTCTTTTGTGTTTGCAGAAGCTCATAGCCTTCCTGGATAAACAACAGTCTTTGCGCTTCGAGATTCGCCACAATCATAGAGGGTGTTACTAGGCAATACTTGCGCGTCATTTTGAGGATCAAATCGCTGGGATGCGCTGGAGCTCTCAGAATTGTCGTTGGGAGAGATGGGGAGAGATGGGGAGAGATGGGGAGAGATGGGGAGAGATGGGGAGAGATGGGGAGAGATGGGGAGAGATGGGGAGAGATGGGGAGAGA